CAGTCTTCCAATTCTGCCCGGCTACAGTCTTCCAATTCTGCCTGGCCGCAGTCTTCCAATTCTGCCTGGCCGCAGTCTTCCAATTCTGCCTGGCCGCAGTCTTCCAATTCTGCCCGGCTTCAGTCTTCCAATTCTGCCCGGCTACAGTCTTCCAATTCTGCCTGGCCGCAGTCTTCCAATTCTGCCTGGCCGCAGTCTTCCAATTCTGCCCGGCCGCAGTCTTCCAATTCTGCCCGGCTACGAACTCCTCCAATCCTGGCCGTGCCCAACAGAACAATCCATATGCACTAGCCCAGCCGCAATTCTTCTCGTGCCCATCCAATATCCCGTGCCCGGATTAGGTGGGTTTCCACCACCCCCAAACAGGACTCCACCAGGAACTCCACAACATAATAGGGTTTCTTAAAGGAGAAATCGAACCTTAATGGATATGGTTCGTTCCATGATGAGCTATACTGATTTACCTATATCCTTTTGGGGATATGCACTTGAAACAGCAATTCATTTGTTAAATAGAGTGCATTCCAAATCTGTTCCAAAAACTCCATACAAAATGTGGTTTGGGAAGAAACCAAGTCTTGGATATATCAAGATTTGGGGTTGTCCAGAGGAATTTTCTGAAGTTTTTGTCAGATTGTGGTTGTGATGATTCTTTTTGAAGCTGCAGAACCGACTTTTCTTCCAACGGTCTAATTCTCATCAAATTATAGCCGTTGGATTGGTGCCAGATCTAACGGGTATGATCCCCTTATGGATTTGTTAGTTCCTGCTGTTTTGAGTTTGGAATTTTCTAGTCATTGGTGGTGGAGCGGACTTCCTCCAGCGGCTGGGTGGGTTTTCCTTTACACAAAGAAAGAGCAAAGCCCATGACATGAAGAGAGCCCAAATATAGCCCAAAAGAAACTCAAGATGGGTTTTCTTTTATAAGTGTACAAAGAAAGAGCAAAGCTCACACCATGAAGAAGCCCAAAGATCACGTAAAAGAAACTTAGGCCCATTTGGTTCACGGATTGAACTTCTTGGGAATAAACTTCCCATGTATAATCCCACAAGATAGGAATGGAGAGTGTCCATTCCCATGTTTGGGAACGCTGCGAAATGAGGATTAGGAAATGTTGTTTTCTCCCATTTCCATGTTTTTTTAATATGGTAAATTCATATTTTTCCATATTAAAAAAATTAAAATTAAAAACAAAATCAGATAATAGGTCATACTTTTATGAAACATAACTAAAAATAACAAATCCATAAGGGGAATGATTCATATTATACTAATTGGCACATGCGTTGAAACGACGTGACCCAAATTCCACTTTGGAATCCTGTTTAAAACTGACATCTGGTGGTCGTGGGTTGTGAAATGACCAAAATGCCCTGAAAACAATAATGCAAACTAAAAAACTCCAACTTGTGGCTGCACCTGATAACTGTAGGCTGCCTACGTACCATTTCTGAGGGATCAAGCCACACGTAGTTCTTTCCTTTGTTCCTGACCTGCAACTAGTTTGTTTACTGTAAACCTAGTTCTAGGGCTGGCGTTTCTGGAGTAATCGGGGCTCCGTTTTACGATCCGTCAACTATTATATGATCCTGGAATTACCTAGACCAATATACTTGAATATGACTACGATCCAACGGTCCGAACCTATCGAACCCGGAAATCGCACAATAGGCGAGATCCGTTCGGGGTTCAAACGGTATCCGAATCAAGATCCGTGAAATCCTACGCGCTCGTGAGGACTAAGGAATTATTCTAGGACTCACTGTGGTCCTCACCCTGCTGCCCACGCACCGTCACACGCGCCGGCAGCGCATGGTGCCTAAAGCGATAACGTTTCGCCGGAAAAACTCCAAGTCACGGCTCAAGGTTCCTACCCTAAGTGTAACACCTTATTTGGAGCCACTTTTGTTCTTGGACCTACCCCAAAAACTGGCTGGAAGTGGCCGGAATCGCACCCTCAAAACCAGCTGAAACCTAGCTTGATAATCTAACTGTTTACGCTTGGAAATTCTGAAATCCTACCCAACCATCAGCTAGAACATGGAAAATAGCTAGAAAATCATACCTCATTCGTCCAATTTGGCAGCCGGAGAAGAGAGAACGAACGGTGGGAAATTTTGACAAAAACCGGGCTGTTTTGGCCATTTTCCGGCGACTGGTGTTGCTGTTAATGACGGAGGAGGCATTGGGTAGGAAGAGGGCGTCGAGCCGGTTCGTTTGGGACCGATGCCACCCCAAACGGTGGCCGGATGCGACGGTGGTGGCCCAAAAACCAGGCTGATGAATAGTAACAGGGGGGGAAGGGGAGGGGCTGCTCGAACCAGAGGGGAGGAAAAATAATAGAACCCGAGTACTGTAGCTACAGTAACAAGTTTAGAATTCCCATTACGTCCTTTTCGTTTTTAGACCAATCCTCCTTCGTTACAACTCGAAATCCAGCGTGCCGCATGTCTACAAACTTGTTTCGTCACGCTCTACGCAATGGTGTAATCGAAATTCCCAAATTCCTTTCTGGTCAAAAAAATCAACTTTTAAACCATATAAATTATTCTGGGGGTATTCTAGTCTTTTCTTAGAATAAGATAATAGTTAAAAGTTAATTAATGACCGGGTTGTTACATGCATGAGCATGTACCAAGGGCTAGTAAACATAATTCATGTTACTAAACTGAAATTAATTCACAAAACAATAATTGTTAACACACTAAAACAGAACAGAGGGGTTAAAAGTGAAAATTTATTTATTTATTATTATTATTATTTTCTCGCTGAATTACTATTTTGCATTGGGTGGAATAGCTAGTAGTAGAGTACCAACCCAACAAACGGCGGAAAGTTCAAGGTGGAACAAGGTTACGAGTAGGGTGCTCTCCTTCTCTTCTGTGTCGTCTCGTCGCTCGCTCCTCTCACTCTCAGTCTCTCAGCGGCCTCCGCCTCCGCGCCTCTCTCCTCTCAATATCACGCAGGTCAGCTTCTCTCATCTCTCTGTATTTTATCCCTTCGATACTCTTGCTCCGCTAACTCTCTCTCATCCAAAACTTCTCAGCCTCTCCGCTCCATCTCAGCTAACTCTCTTTCTCATCTCATCTCAATATCAGGTACGTATGTGTCCTCTAGCTCCAATTGCTCTGTATTTCAACTTTCTTTTACAGACTTAGGTTTGTGGAAATTAATTTGGGGATTTTGTTTTAATTGGTCTGTTGTATGTTTGTTTAGACCTGTTAATGAATAATGAATCAAATACATTGTCATAGAAATAATTACCGAAAAAGTAATGCTAGGACATCAAATATTTGAACAAAATTTGATTGACACCATGAATGTAATTATCAAAAACTAATAAGCCTCTTAAAGAGTAATTAACCAAGTTGCTCTGGAAGATCTCTGAAGGCATAAGAAGTAAGAGCAGAAGCATCATGTGATTCAATTTGGGTTGGGGCACTGGGTTGGGGATGGGTGGTTGTGGCGAAGTGAGGAATGGAAGTATGGTTTTCTGGGAGATAGAGGGTTAGGAGGGGCTGGGGGTGTTGAATGCTTCTTTTCTTTTTTTTTGGTACATAATGCTTCTTCTTTCACTTTCACTTTCGACAATGATGCTTTCTTTACCTTTTTTTTTTTTTTGGTGAAAGATGCTTTCTTTACTAATTTCTAAATACATTATTAAATTAATAAATGATCGGTTAATTCATGTAGAATTAAAACTATGCTGGGTATTTGTTTACGTGTTATAAATAAATACCACTTTATGGAGTTTTTTTAAAGACAAAATAAACTCAAGTGAACGAAACATGAATACCTCTTTATTATTTTTCATTCCGTTAGTTTATAAATTGATAATATTTTTTAATTAAAAATTTGAAATATACACCAAAAATTTATCCTGTGTATAATTAAAAGTAATTCTTTATCCCAAACCATGTTCGCTAATGGGCCAATAAAATGGCAATAATACTTCAGTAATAATTCACTCAATGTTTTGTATGGATTGCTATGTATTTATTATGAATATTGGAAGTTATAGCATAGAAAATTAATAATAAATTGAAGAGAGCAACATGTCGCTTCGGGGATTGATACATCGTTAAGGTTTCTGTATGGTGTTCTTCCCGCATAGCTCCAAGTTTTTTTCTTATGATTTTTATTTTTTGAATGTTTTAAGGTAAACAAAAAAGTAATAGAAACTAAAGTTAATTTATATGGAAAGAGTTTATATTTCTTTCTTGTTTTAGAGTTATCGCATGCATGTATGTTGATAGAGTTATCTCTTGTTTTAAAAAGGCTTCTTGTTTCATGGTTGATTCCACTTTATGCTAAAAGCTCTCCCCTTGAAATAATACACAAGAGCCAACTGGCCTTTATTGTGATTTGTAATTGAGACTTTTCTCTTTGGTTCATTGGGTCATATGGTACTGACATTCTAATTTTTCTTTGATAGATTTGTCAAGTCTGTCATTAACAATATGGCTGATATGTCATCATTTATCTGAAGTTGGACAACAGGACCTTATTCTCGACAGAGGATAATTCTGAGATAAAAGTTGCATAGTCCTTCATAACAAAGACATCTACTGTATTACCAATCGAAGATGGCTTTTGAGGACAAAGATCTTGTGGAAATCTTAGAGGAGCATAAACAAATTGACATTGCCAAATATATCAATTATGTGAGTGCCCCACAGGCAGGTGCTATTGCAACATTTTCTGGTACCACGCGCGACACCTTTGAAGGCAAAACAGTCTTGGAGCTTAGATATGAAGCGTATGTGCCCATGGCATTACGGTGCATGAAGTCCATTTGTTCATCTGCTAGATCATCCTGGAATCTCCTCTCCATTGCAGTTGCCCACTGCCTCGGCCCAGTTCCAGTTGGTGAAACAAGTGTTTTCATTGCAGTCTCAGCCGTTCATCGGGCTGATGCATTGGATGCTTGTAAATTTGTGATTGATGAGATAAAGGCATCAGTTCCAATATGGAAGAAGGAGGTTTACAGTAATGGAGAGGTTTGGAAGGAGAATTCAGAGTTCCTGGAGCGAAGGCTGGATCTTGGGAAAAAAGATGAGATGTGGAATGAAAAAGAAATTGAAGTTGAAGTTGAGAGGCATACTAGGAAGAGCTGTTGTGGGGCTAAGGTAAAGGTCATTGAGGAAGGAGATAAAAAATGAAGCTGAGCAAAGCTTCTATTTATTTATGTTTAGGAAAGATTTTCTCTGTCATAATGAAATGTAACTCTTTAAAACCTAATAATCTTCTTTTTATATAATAAGAATAGGAACTTGGAGATAACTTTGGCACTTCATGTCTCTTTTTGTGGGTTGCACACTCTATGATCTGCTTGCTTGCGTAAGTCACAAATTGTTGAACTACTCTGCTTTCGAGTTTTGGTTATTTCTTCAAACATCTCATGCATTTTATTTGAAAACAAAACAAGACACTCGTTAATTTCAGGACATGTCTAATTAATTTCACCCTATATGTTTTTTCTGATAGAATTAGCTTTGAGGGTTCAGAACGTCAGGTCCAAGAAATATTATCTGCTTTGTTGGAAATTTCTCACAAATGTATAGGTATAGGAATTCTTTCTAGGTACGTAGCTTTCTCTGTGGACCAGATACATTTTAGCTTGGAATTCTTGTTGAAAACAAAAATGAAATAGGGCATGGTGGTTTAGGAGTTAAAAAACTACAAAATTTTAACTAGCAAAATTGGATAATGGGACAGTTACTTGAAAATACTTGAGACATAATTCTTTCTTTCAAGTATTTTCAAGGTGCAAAACTTATGCTAAAAAGAATGAGATGAGAAATGTATATGGACGTTTAATTGCATATTTATGCTTTCCTTTGAAGTATGGAGACACATGAAGCTGAAGCAATTGGTTAAGGTGAAGATAAACATCAACTTCATACAAATCCATTGACATACACAGGGTGAGAAAGGACCAGACCAAGAACTTGGTGGCATTAGCATTTAAAGGAATATAGAAAATATTACAAAGAAAGAATGCTGGGCTGTAAGCCTGTAACAACAATAGCAGCCAACAGCTGCGGATCATAACAGCAAAATGATCTTCCATTCCCATACTTCTAACTAGAGGAGCAGTTAATCATGGCCTATCAGAATACAATAGTATCATGGTTGTTTATTTGGCGGAAAGGTTACCACCGGGCGGTGAAAGAAGAGCCACGGCACCATGCTGCGGGCTGCAGAACTTGTTATAGACTGCCTTGAGCTTACTCTCTGCAGCCGCAGAATGAAAAGTGTGCAACAGCTTTGCGCAGTCCCTGTTCCAGTAGAATCCAGAGTACAAAGGAAAATAAAAAAGATCAACTAAATGTCACAATAATTAGTAAGTACAAAAATTTATGAGCTGTAAATTGTGAAAGGCTCACATCAGCTCATCTTCAGAATAGCCAGTATGATGCTTGAGAGTCTCAGTCCAGAAAGGGGTCCTGTCAAGGGTGCATCGAGCAACATAAACAGCCGAAGCAGCCATCATTGAAGGGCAGTAGAGAATCGTAGCAGAATAGTCCATCAGACCCAGTTCAGCCAGAAAAAACACCATATTCTCCATCTACATTTTATTATCACCAACAAACAAAAAATTAAAAAAAATTCAAACAAATCAAATTGTTAAATACAGGTTTTCACCATGGACTTGAATATCCATGAACCTCAAAATCACATACCAACTCGTCATCAGATGAAGCAGATGATGCTTTGATATAGCGCACCAGGAAGACATAAGTTGTGGGAACTGTTAGGCACCATCCCAGCTTTCCCAAGATTGCTTTCTCCATCACTAACACCTTTTCTTTACCATAAGCATTGTCTGAAATGCAGACAAAGTCGTTGACCTGCCCATTTTAACAACCAAAACCCAAGATTAATATTCAAAATTAAAACCAAAAGAGAAAACCCACATGCAAGATACACAAACAAACAACAATTGCTACCTCTGGTGCCCAAATTTCTTCATATTTGCTTGCAAGAAGCATTGAGCTGATGCCAACTAACTGAAGCTCCCTCCTTGGTACAACTTTAACCGAAAGGAATCGATCGACAAGGTTTATGGTAAGATAGAGGGTTTCTGGCATGAGTTCAAATTTGTGATGAACTTCTATCAACCAGTCTACAAGGATTGATCTCATCTTGGCATTTATTTCTGGCTGTAAAGCCATGTACTCGTGCACACAATTCTCATCCTGCATCCATCAGAAGGAAGCATAACAATCCAATATGAGAAAGTGACAGAGAGACAGAAAGAGAGAGAATGAGTGTAGAGTTACAAGTCAATACTTCTGTGAGCTTGTAAAACTGGTAGATTTCATCCAAATATTCAACTACTGCCAACTCATTATCGGCATCAGCTGCATCAATGTCCACTTTTGGATCCTTTGGCTTACTAGTGAGTCCACAAGCAGCCTGTGAGAAAAGCAAACTCAGTGGACAATACAACAATGCAGAGCAAAAAGTAACAAAAATTGAGCCACCAAAAAAGAAATTTACTTTGCTTCGGGCACTGAGAATTGATGTAAAGGCCCTGGCATTCTTCTTTGAGGCTCCTCCTCTAGATCTCCTTCCACTAACAGCACTCTTCTCGTTTACAGCTGCCACAGCCTTCTTTGCAGCACCGGATTTTCCAGCCGTCAGCCCCCCATTAATTACTTCTATGACCGGTTTCTGCAAATTACAATAGCCAAACATTGTGATAAAGTGAGATAGTAAATTCTAAGACTTCATTGAGAAGAAGAAGAAAAATAAAAGTAAAATAAATTGAATAAAATTTGGATTGGATTTGTACCTTATTCTTCTCTGATGGGGCAGGAAGCTTAGCAAGGATCTTCCCTTGGGCAGCAGGGGCAGTTACTACTAGGTTACTAATGTCTTGAAGAACTTGCCTATTTTTCCCCTCTGCTGCTACCTTCTTCTGCTTGCCTTCCTCTAAAATACCATTAAACTCTCAGTTTTCACATTGAAATGGGCAAACAGACCGCATCAAACAAGAGTTCAAACGAATGGATCAACCATTTGTTAGGACACAATAGAAAAGATAACACAAATTCAATGCTAGCTCCCATGAGATGGACCAAAAATTACCAACGCTTACTTACGAGGTCAGAACATAAAATGGAAAAGACAACTCACAAAATTGTTGTTTATGAAAAAAATATAAATGAAAAATAATCATGAGGTGGATGGAAATAGCCAACAGAAAGTTTTCGAAAACCGCACAAGGAATTGAATAAAAGATTTTAGTATAGCGACATATGAACAAAAATCTCAAAAAAGAAAAAAACATTTCAAAAATTGGAACTTGATCAGTTAGACCCACAGAAAACAATAATGAACGGATCTCTGTTTTCTCTATCAAAGCAAACAAAGATGCCCAAAAGAACCAATCAAAGAAGAACTTAAACCAAGCACATTGGTACCTCTTTGTAGTTGGTGAGGCACAACAACAACGGCTCTGGAAGCCATTTCAAGATCTTGATTTTCTTGACCGTTACTGCCAAAAACTCCTCCTAGACTCGAAAAGAACGACGACAAGAACACCTGGAGACGGCTGTTGCGCGTCTCTCTTTCTTCCTCGGCGTTAATGGTCGCCACTTTCTTCAGTTCAGCCCCTCTTTCTCTCTCTCTCTCAAATTCCTTTCGATTGTCGCTTTCTCTTTCTCAGGAATTTGGGATTTTCTGAAGTTTTTGTCAGATTGTGGTTGTGATGATTCTTTTTGAAGCTGCGGAACCGACTTTAGTGCCAGATCTAACGGGTATGATCCCCTTATGGATTTGTTAGTTCCTGCTGTTTTGAGTTTGGAATTTTCTAGCCGTTGGTGGTGGAGCGGACTTCCTCCAGCAGCTGGGTGGGTTTTCCTTTACACAAAGAAAGAGCAAAGCCCATGACATGAAGAGAGCCCAAATATAGCCCAAAAGAAACTGAAGATGGGTATTCTTTTATGAGTGTATAAAGAAAGAGCACGAAAAAGCCCAAAGATTGCACAAAAGAAACTCAGGCCCATTTGGTTCGTGGATTGAACTTTTTGGGAATAAACTTCCCATGTATAATCCCACGAGATGGTAATGGAGAATGTCCATTCCCACGTTTGGGAACGCTAGGGAATGAGGATTAGGAAATGTCGTTTTCTCCCGTTTCCATGTTTTGTTTATGCAATATTAGGAATGAAAAGTTGATCAGTTTTCCAACCCCTGGATTTATTATTATTAAAAGTTATTAATCTGAAGAGTTTTTTAAATGGTCAAAAGTAGTATTTTAAAATAATAACATTGGTCTATCTTTGACTCAAAATAAAATAAAAATAGCATGGGTAAATTAGTCCAAAAAATTTGCCTTAAATGCTTTCCCAAGTGAGGGAAAAAGTTTCCCAAGGTGAGCCAAGGTTATAAACTTCCCCCCTACATGGGAAGTCCATACCCATGAGTTCATAATTGTATTTCCAAGAGTGCACCTACCAAACATGGGAATGCAATTTGAAACTTATTCCCAATCTCCTAAACCTTGAACCAAATGGGCCCTCAAGATAAAGCAAGAAGACTATGGGAGTAAGAAATTAATCCACTAGCACCCTAAACTAAACTTGGGGAAGTGGAACTATAATCAAGAAACATGTTTTCCCAATTTCTATCCATCATCACATATGAATAAAATCATGAGATTGGTAGGACTTGACGACATAGGCCAACTAAGGCAAACATGCCTATGCCCATAAATAAATGCAGGGGTAAGTTATAAGGGTGTCTATGCGGGGTATCTAAGAGCCATCAGATTAAATTAGACGGTTAGTTTTCAAAATAGGGTGCATTGTTAGAACTGTGTTGAAATTACTCGTTGGATGCGTTAGAACCCAACTTCAGTTCAAGATGTTTCCCTCTCACTGAAAAACTCGAAACCTCACTCCTCTCTCTTCCAATCTAACGCAAACCCACTATTACAAAGATCCAAAAACCTTAGACTGGCTCTATTCTTATCAGCCTTTCAATCCAGAGTCTTCAATTTCAAAACAAAGTGTATTGTTAGAACCTGTTTGAAATTACTCATTCGATGCGTTAGAACCGGACTTCAGTTCAATATGTTTCCCTTTCTCTGAAAAACTCAGAACCTCACTCCTCTCTCTTCCAACATAACGCAAACCCACAATTACAAAGATCCAAAAACCCTAGACTTGCTCCATTCCATCTCCACCACCAAAGAGTCTTCTCTAATGTCCACCACAATCTCTCAAGCTGACTAACTTTTGGAGGTAATTTTGTTGTTGCTGGATTGATTTTCTTGGGT